CCCGCCGCCAGTCCTCCAACTTCCCACCCCGCCGTGAGGCTGGTCTCAGCTGAGCAATTCTGAAATCATCCCTTGTGGTAAAAGGAGCTATTTTCAGCCTTCCCATTACTGCCCGGTGGGGGGTGGGGTGGGGTGGTGTTTATCCCTTTGCTGCCTTTTTCTTTCCTTCTTGTACAGTGTAATCTGGAGCAGCGGTGAGAGCATTACGCAGCCCTGCCTCCGGGGTCCCAGCTGGCAATCCCCGGTGCTGTGATTTGGCACCAAATGCAGAGCCTGGGGCAGAGGCAACCTTGGGCCCCATCCTTGCTCTGTAGTAACTCCAGAGTGACAGGTAGCACAAATGGCCTGTCGGAGTCACCTTGGCCCTGGCTGGTGGGGACAGCTCCCCTGCTGCCGCTTGCTTCAGGCTGATGGTAGCCTTTGGTGACCTTACCAAAAAGCTGGCCAGCTCATTGAGGTGGCGGCTCTAAAGGAGACCCCAGCATCCTCCGCTGACTCTGTGACCCTCCCCAATCTGGTCTCCCCATGCCCTGATTGGATGCCTGGGTCCCTCCTGGTCTCTTGTTCCCTGCTCCCCTCAGTGGGTCCTGGGGTGATCTGAAGGGGCCCCTCTGTCCTGTCTTTTGGGCTCCCCCGCCCTCCCGAGGAGCCTGCAGGTGGCAGAGCCATCAGTGGTGAATTGGCAGGTGCTCTGGGAGCTCCCTTTAGAGGCAGGAGAAAGCCTCTCCCTTATGGAGCGAGAGTCTGGTGGGACAGAGTCTGGTGGGACATCTGGGGCTTGAGAGAATTGTTCCAAATAACTCAGAACTGTTGGGAGCCGAAATGGCAGAGCAAATGAAAGTACAAATGATAGCCAAAGCTATTAATCACTGATACTCTCCTAAATCAGGTAATTAATGGGTATTTAAGTAGCATATTTATGAGATACCAGCAGGTCTTCAAAAAGCACATATTTTCCCAAAGCGACTGGTTGGCCCAACTGTGTCCTGCTGGGAGACTGGGGTTGCCATCCCACCCCTAGGCCACCCCCCAGGCGCAGGGAGCATGACGGGAGGCAGGTCCCGTCTGAGCTTCCCTTTTGGCATCGCAAAGAGGGATCGGAGCCCTTCTGAACTGACCTCACTGGGCTGTCGTGAGGATGATAGGAAGTGAAGGCCATGCAGATCCCTGGGAGTGGTGTAAAATGCTGTACAGAATTTAGTGTTAGCTGTGAAAATAGCCTTGAAGTTATAGGATACAGTGCCTTGATTTTGCCCGGTGCTGTTTATGGCCAGGGTTAGGCCTCAGTGGGTGGCTAGAGGCATTCCTTTGTTTTGAGTCATTGCCGAACGTGTGTCTGGGTCTGTGACTGAGTCAAGGCTTAGTGTGTGGCTTGGCCTGTGCTCGGCCTCATGGCCTGGTTTGAGATCAGGTCCCAGTTGTTCTGTGATCGGGGTTGTGACTTGATCTGTGGTCAGCTCGAGGTTAGGCTGTGGTTGAGGTCAAGGTTGGGCCATGGCTAGTCTCAGGAAAATTCAGCCTCAATTCTTGTGTCCACCCCTGGAATGATGGAGCTACGTGGGTCCCCTGGAAGCTGGATTCCTTCGGGGTCCTCCAGGATCTGGGCTCCAGGTGCTGGGAACCCCAGCACACAGGCCCTTCTGGGACTCCTGGCATGTGCCCTGAAACAGCCCAGCACACGAGCTCATCAGTGGCGCTTACAGCAGTTTGGGAGATAGTTAGGACATGTTTCTATAGCAACCAACCCCCACCCAGCACTGGTTTCCTTCAATAATGCCTTTTTCTGGAAGCAGCTTCTCCTGGCCTCTTGTTTCTCCCTGGGTGGCCCCGTAGCCCCTTGAAGGCTGAGCATGGGCTGCTTGGCCCTGATTGGTCTGGTCAGACTCATCCTGACCCAGAGACGGGGCCTGAGGACATTCCCTATGGGATGCTTCCCTGAGAGGGGGCCCTCCTGAGATCTACCTGGTGCTGGGCCATGCTGAGTGTAACAAGAGCTTTCTCTGTGCCCAGCCCTGGGCTGCAAGAGGCTATGGGCCTGGGGAGGATTCCTACCAGGTTTCTGCCTGGGGGAACCCACAGCCCAGTGGGACAGGCAGGCCTGGACCTAGTCTGCAGATTGGTGCTCTGATGGGCACAGGTAAAGGGTGTCATGGAAGTACAGAAGAGGCAGGTACCCAGACCACCACTGGGGTCAAAGAAGGCTTTCAGCTGGGGTAGGGTGGGGATGGAGGGTATTTCAGGTACCAGGAGGTTCAGGAGCAAAGTCTTGGAGGGAAAGAACATGGTATGGGCTGGGGGGGGGGGCGGCGAGGGGGGGCCCTTCCCAGTGGCGACGTGTTACTGGAACCCAGACTTATGGGTGGAGGGGCTTGCAGACAGAGCAGGTCCTGGCCTTAGGTAGCTCAAGGTTTGGGGGGCAGATAAGACACAGCCCCAGGAAGCTGCGCCGGTGGAGAGGAGAGAAGGGCCAGCCGTGCACCAGGGGCAGCCCCAAGACTATCCGGGCTTCGGAGCTTCCAGCCTCAGGGTGAGGAGGGCAGTTCCCGCTCTGCCATCTGGGCTCCCATTCCAGGGGCTGGAGAAGGGGAGGGGCCCACTCTTGGGATCTCCCACCTGTGAAAGGACCAGAGAAAGGCCCGTGGAGATCATGATTTATTTATGTTATTTAACAAACCCTTTTATAGCACTGAGTGCCAGGCACCATGCCAAGCCTTTTTCAAATATTCATTCACGTAATCTTCATAGCAACCCTAGGGAAGGACTCTTATTACCCCCATTTTACAGAGGAGGAGACCGAAGCACAGAGTGGTGTGGTGACATTTATTAAGATCACCCGCTGAGAAGTGGCAGAGTTGACAGTGAGAGGAGGAAGCCAGGGCTGCGGGAGGAGGCGCAGAGCGAAGGGGGCCTTCAGAGTCCCCGCAGCCTGCCAGTAGGAGCCTCACTCAGACTCCGCATCTCTCACTCTGCATCCAGCCAGTGGATGGACCCCTGGGACCCCAGGCCAGAACTGTGAAGTGTGATTCTAAGTGTGTGTGCGGGGGTGGGGGGCTGTGTGGGCCACGTTTGGGCTCTGGACTCTACGTGTCCACGGGGCTCCCACTGCCCACGGGACGTCTGGCAGCCTGATGGTTTCCGCAGCATTGATCGTCAGCAGTTAGACCCAGATGCTTGTGCTTGTAGAACCTGCCATCCCCGTGTGTGTGTGTGTGTGTGTGTGTGTGTGTGTGTGTGTGTGTGTGTGTGTGTG